TTTAGAGAACATTATAAGGCTATTTTTGTCTTTACGTAACACAGTTTCCACGCTAGGGTTTAGATAATATATATAAGCCTTTTTGGCTGTTCGTCGCCAGTTCTCGTGGCTGCTTCTCCATCTGCTTTAACCGGTAAAGAAACTCTTCTTCTCTCTGGGTTTTTGATCGTATTTTTTGTAAAATAGAATCTTCGAATCGATTAGGTCTATACCTGTGTGTGATTCTTCAGATAGTGGTTCTCTCTCTGTATTCGTGTCTTGTTTTAGTAATATGTTTGAGATAGATTCGTAGTTTAACAATGTACTGTCTCAATTTCTTCTTGTAGCATTTGAAAGCTTTAGATTCGTCTTGTATTCAAATCTCCAAAGATGCAGAACGAAGAAGGAAAAAACACTGAACTTTACATTCCAAGGAAATGGTAAGATTATATATAATTGAACCTAATCTTTTCGAGAAATCTTAATTAGAAAAAATTGTTTGAGAAATTTTCTTGTTTGTTTTTGGGATGATAATTTGCAGCTCAGCCACTAACAGGTTGATCCCAGCAAAGGATCATGCTTCAGTGCAGCTCAACATTGGTCATCTTGATGCTGATGGAATCTACACTGGTCAATTCACTACTTTTGCTCTCTGCGGTTTTGTCCGTGCTCAGGTTTGTGAGCTTCTTGATCAGAAAACTTGTATTGAAGTAGACTCGCCCCTAATTTTACTATGTAGCAATTGAATTAGCTCTAAGTCATTCTGTTGAAACAATGTAGGGTGATGCTGACAGTGGAATCGACAGGCTCTGGCAGAAGAAGAAGTTTGAAGCCAAACAACAGTAAGACCGAAAAGCTTGTCGTCGAGGTTTTATTAATCTAGATGTGAACTTGTGTCTTGTTTATTTCTTGTTTCTGCAAAGATAATTTTTGGATTTGAAAAATGTTGGAATGAGATGTTTGGTTCTTAAATTTGACCAGAAATTATTAGCCAAGTATCGTTAGAAAACCTCCCTCTTTCTATTATACAAATTCTTCAAGTCGTATCGGGCCAAAACCAAGAAAAGTATTGTAGATATAATAAAAGCATATACAACTAAAAGATTAGGGATTAGTCTATACGAAAAAAGCATGTGCTTAGAATTTTGATATGATGTAATGTGTACTGGATAGAAAAATGGGACAAATATAAGCAGAAACAAAAGAATAAAGATGTGAGGAACTCAAATTGAATCAGTAGGTTATTCAAGTTTCGTAGCTTGGTTGGTTACTGAGTGCAGATTGAATAAGGGCTATAGTAAAGCATATCCTTTTAGCTCAACGTGAGATTTGCAACTTTTGTGTGTTTGTAATTGTCTGTACCAAAGTAACGGTCTGCAAATTCTCCCATGCCTGGAATCACACGTGAGTCTTCATTGAGGGAGGCATCGATTTCGGAAGTCACTATCTTTACCATCGGATACTTCTTGCAGAGCGCGTGAATACCTTGAGGTGCCTGCGGTTGTTTCTTGTGTTAATAAAACATTGATGATTACTTATTTAACCGAGAGAGAACAAAAATTGACAAGAGGTTTGATTGGTCTTTACTGCTATAAGGTTGAGAAAGATGATATGTGATTCTGGAACTCCTTTGCTAAGAAGTAGAGATATAGCTTTCATTGCAGAGTTTCCTGGTAACAACTCTTAAAAAGTTTAACACTTCTGCAACAACTGACCTGAAAAATGTTAACTTTTATTTACGAACCTGACGCTAGAACAGGGTCAAGGAGGAAGACATGACGGCTTGAGATATCTTTCGGTAACTTCTCATATATTAACTGCAGGAAATCTCTTTCAAATGAAAAACCATTGAGATGAGATTTGAAAGAAAACGAGTTCTCAGGCAATGGAATCACACCTGACGACCATCATTACCCTCTCTGTGAATGAGTATTTTACCAATCTTAATTCCTTTGCAGCAAGCCCTTAGTGCATTCTCCATACTTTCTCCACTGTAAGTACCGAAAAGATAACACACTACGAAGCAAAAACACTAACCCGAAAAGCAACGATACAGCACAGTGATGTAATAGTTACCTTCTGATCACTGAGACGCTGCACAATCTCTTGCAAAAGTCAACTCCGGTGTACACTGACCCTGTTAAGTTTTTAAGAGATGAAAACTTTCAAACGTTTTTAATCTTATTTAGACGAGAGAGACAGTCACACGAACATTACATTACCTGTTGGAGTTGTTATCTGCTTCTCTGTGAAAGGAAGATGACCAAGTCCATGTTCCACCACCTGAGACAAACATATACAACTCCAATGTCAGTTTTGATCATTTTATGAAACCTATTGTCGGGGAATCTAATGCTTTGTTCGGTGGCTTTTACCAGTCGAATCAATCGGTCAGCGTAGAAGACGAAATCGTGCTTTGTTGTGTTGATGTCGCGGATAAGAGTGTGCATTCCTTTGATCTGGAATGTTGAAGATATGATGAAGATGTTCGAGTATATCTTACAGAGATTGTGTTGGCACAGCTTTGTACGGATATGTTGTACAATGAGATCAATCGCGACATTATTGTCTCCTCCTCGAGGAATGATTATATCAGCATACTTCATCGATGGCTGGATAAACTCATCGAAGCTCGGCTTCACAAACTTTGTATACTGAAAAAGAAAAGAAAAATCGAGATGAGATGATAATATCTTCCATAGACACAATCAGATTCAACACTATTACTGACCTGCTCAAGCACATTTTGGATGTTTCTTCCTCTCTCGACAGTATCACGCTGTATTCTCCTCGAGAGCCGAACATCAGCATCTGCAATCTAAGCTTGTGACCTTCATAGCCTTAATGATCAATGTGGATTACCGAATGAATACATATTCAGATACGAACCTGTATCGACAAAGATCTTCATGTTCATGAGATGGCGAACTTGAGGATCATTAAGAACCAGTATTCCTTCTAAGACGATTACATCAGCAGGATTAACCTGAATTTAAGACCTTAATGTTACTAATGATGATAATTTATGCATCTATTGAAGCAAAATACTGAATAGTACCGGACTTGCTGATTCAATGCTCTGGTGGATTTTGAAATCATAACTCGGGATGTTCACAGGTTTCCCAGATCGTAATTTCTCCATACAAGAAAGCATGACCTCAGTATTGAATGCATCTGTGTAGTAGTTGAATCAAACAAACAAATCTATAAAACAAAATTTCGAATCATCGATTTTGCTTACCAGGATGATCGAAATTATATTCGTGAACTTTCTTCAAATTTTCCGGAGTGAGCGAATGATAAAACGAATCCTGCAATCAAACACAGGACTGTTTCTTTAATTTCTATGTTTCCGATTCGTGAGGATTTGAATATTACGGGGTTAATTTACTTGGTTCACGAGGACAACGCGTTGATCGTGTAACTGAGACATTATCATATTGCAGACCGTCGTCTTCCCGGAGGCTGTTCCGCCGGCGACACCTGATCGGAAGCAGATCGACGACGGAATCAGCGAAAATCAATTTTTTGAAAATCCAAGGAAGAAAACAACAAATCGAAACGGTACCGATGACGAAAGGCTGTTTAAGAGGAGCAGGAGCTGAAGGAGAAACATTGTCACTGATCGAGAAGTGATCTCTTCCGCCATTAGACAATTCCTCCA